GACCAGCATTTATTGAGCACCCACTGTATGCCAGGCACTCTTCTAAGCACATTGTATGTTCTGGATTCTTTAGTCCACCACACTATTATCCCCACATTGCAGCTGGAATGCTGGGACACACTTGGGATTTATGTGAGCCATGCCAAGTTGCATGAGGACTTTCCCTCTTCCAGAGTCATGGAGAGGAACCTGGCTGCAACACCAAGCCAGGCGAGCCTCTTCTGAGAATGAGAGAGGAGAGTGCCTACCTGAGAGGCCCAATTTTTCTCAACACCCATTTCCTCTAAGGGGATTATGTTAACTGAGATTTGGCCCAAAGGGCTATCTGCGTTTGATGGTATGGAGCCATGCAAGAATAAGACGTATAGAAGAAAGTTGTGAAAACAAAGTGTTAGAACATTCTAGGAATACCTATAGCTACCCTATAAAGAGAATTTTTTGCTGCATTGGGGTAAGGTTATTGAAATTCACATCCTACTTCTGACCCTTATTCATGGACACAAAGGAAGCACGTTAGCTATCATTATCCTTAACACGCGGGATTTGGGGAAATCCATTTTTTCTTATGACATAATGCTAATGAACCACAACTGACTTTCTCCACAGCAATGTAGTCACTGCAATCAAATGAACACAAACTCAAAATGTGCTTTTCTTTATTCTGGGGCCAGGGAATTAATTAGGTGTGAGTTGGAGAAGGATTAAGATACAAGATGCCAGATAAGACATAAGATATCCAATTAAATTTGAATTTTAGATAGATAATGAATATTTTTAAAAATATAAGTATGTCTCATGCAACATTTGGAATATACTTACACTAAAAAATTATTCATTGTTTGTCTGAAATTCAAATTTCACTGGGCATCCTATAATTTTGTTTGGTAAATCTTGCAATCCTAAGAAGAACATGGGTATTGCTTCATCTATGGCCATTCCTGGCCTCACATTCGTCTCCTGCTCCCCACCTTCCTGCTTAAATGTGAAATCAAAAGTCATAGAAGGCTTGACAAAATGACAAGAATTTTAATGGCCTAAGGCATTAATTCATCCTTAACAGGAGACATGTCCAATCCATTTAGGTTTAGTGACTTGAAATGGCAGCATTTTCATATTTCCCATCCTTACTCCATGTCTCATCAAGAACCAGGATGGACTGGGGAGCAATTATTTCCATTCTGGGGGTGTTTGAGGGAAAATTTCTTCTTACGTAGAGGGTGAAGATTCAAGGCTTACAGGTAGATGTCAGAGGCCCTTGGGCAGGTGTTAATTCCACTCTCCTTTTACTCTGATGCTAATTTCTTAACAGTCACGAGCATACAGGTGCAGCTAGCAATGTTGAGGAGAGCTGCGTCCCAAATCTGGGTGATTAAGTCACGCTTTCTCATTTCCACGCTGTAATTTGAGATGTTCTTGATTTTCATTTCTTCTGATCATCAACTAGCGGTGGTACCAAACATTTTAATGTTTAAAACCTCTGCCCCCCACCTCCCAGACTGGTGTCAGGATATGTGCTTGATCATCCAAAAGGAGATATCTGTTAAGAGAGCCCTGTAGTGTATCCTTACACACAAGTGAAAATTCCTTTTATAATGCAAATTTCCCATCTTCCCTGTTTTACCGGTTCTGTAAATTTTGAGGCTTTTGAACATTGAGTTTTTTAAAAAACAAGGTATTCTTCTATGCCTCTGGTGTCTTGACCTCAATTCCTCTTCCTTCCTTTCTTCCTTCCCTGTCATTCTCATCTTCATCCTCCTCATCTTTTTTTTTTTTGTGTGTTAAACCCACAATTAAACATTACAGCTCAGAAAACCGGTCTTCAACCTTGGCTACATTTTAGAATTGTAGGAGTAATTACAAAATATATGGATGCTCCGGGCATACCCCCAGAGAAACTGACTTAAATGGTCCGAGGTGGGGTACTGTCATCGATATTATTTACAGGCTCCTCGAGTGATTCTAATTGCAGCCAGGGTTGAGGACCACCAGCCTAGAGGTAAGCATCAGAGAAACTGAACTGAGGGAGTCTGGATTCTCATCCCAGCTCTGCCATTTATGATGTGTCCTTTGGCAAGTTACCACTTTTCTGAGGCTCGGTTTCCTCATCAGTAGAATAGGGATATTAATATGTGCCATGGAGGAGGTTGTGGTGAGGATTAAATGAGATATTCCGAATCAAGTTCTTAGCATATGGTGATCCCTTATTAGCGTTGGTTGTTATCTATCCCAGGGGTCAGCAAACTGTGGTCCATAGTCCAAATGTAGCCCACTCCCTATTCTTGTTAATGATGCTTTATTGGGCCATAGCCACACCCGTTGACTTACATATTGTTTATGACTGCTTTTGTGTGACAGCAGCAGGGTTGAGTGGTTGTGATGAGACTCTGTGGCCAACAAATTCTAAAATATTTATTCTGAACCTTGACAGAAAATGTTTGCTGTAAGTTAAAACTGTAACATCAACCTCATTTATGCCCCATGGAGCGCCCAGTCTATTAGGGGTAGCCACCTCAAATATCTCCCATACATTGCAGCAGGGAGGCAGTGTGGTGTCCCGAAGACAGTCTGGGATTGGGTTCTTTCCTCAAGTCCTCCCTAAACCATGCATTTGACCTTAAGTAACCTGCTTTTCCTCTCTGAGCCTCAGTTTTCTCGTTTCTAAGGTAGAAGGGTGGGGCTAGATGATCTCCAAAAGTTCTTTCAGCTCTAGAATTTTCTGATTCTGTCCCTGGCATTCTGTGGAGCTCTCAAAGCACAGATCCATCTATTCTATGGGAACTGGGCCAGGAGAACTTTTAAATTGGGGATGATGAAATAGCAGGCTTTCTCTTGTCCGCACTACAGCTGTTTAACAGCAAGTCCATGCAATTCACAGTTGCTCTTCCTTCTTCAGAGGTTCAGAGAAAGGTTTATAAATCCTCTGTTGTGGGATGAATAATGACCCCCCAAGATATCCAGGTCTGAATCCCTGGAACTGGTGAATGTCATCTTGTATGGCAAAAGAAATGTGCAGGTATAGTTAAGAATTTCGAAATAGGGAGATAATTCTGGATAACCTGAGTGTGCCCTAAATGCTATCACCGGTATCCTTATAAGAGGGAGGCAGAAGGCAGAGGGTGATTTTACTACAGAGAAGGCGATATGACAACCTCACCTGAGAGAGATTTGAAGATGCTAAGCTGCTGGCTTTGAAGATGGAAGAGGCCGTGAGCCAAGGAATGCAGCTCCAGAAGCTGGAAAAGGCGACAGTGGATTCTCCACTCTGTAGCTGCTCTGGAGGGAGCATGTCTCTTTCACATTTTGATTTCACTCCAGTGAAACTGATTTGAGACTTCTGACCTCTGGAACTATACGAGGGTAAACATGTGTTATTTTAAGCCCCCAAGTTTGTGGTAATTTTTGTGTGGAAGCCATAGGAAACTATGATACCCTCCTTACATTGGTAGGTAACCTATGGATCCCAAGGGGAATTAGCAGTGGGCATGTAGAGGAAGTCTCATAGAGAGAGAATTAATAGAGAGATTTGTGGCAGTTAGCCATGTGGAAAGACTGGAATGGAGTAGAGAGGGAGGGAAAAATAGAGGAAGAGTTGAATGGATTGAGAGAGAAAATATGGAAGGCTTGAGGTCTTCCCTACTTCTTCATTTCCATTCTTTGCTGTAGTGGACAGAATTCTAAGATAGCCTCCATGACCTCCACTCCCTGCTGTTACACCTTGGTGTAATCCCCTCCCTTGAGTGGCGTTAGGATCTGTGACTGGCTTCTAACAAACAGAATATGGCAGAGGTGATGGGATGTCACTCACATGATTGCATTTTATTATATAAGACTAGATAACGCTATGTATAACATTATATAACTAGAGAGAGACTTTCCTGTTGGCCTTGAAGAAGCCAACAGCCATGTTATGAACTATCTATGGAGGGAGCCATGTGTCAGAGAACTGTGACCAGGTCTCTAGGATTGGGGGCAGCCTCTATAGCTAGTGAGAAACAGGGCCTTCAGTCATACAGCAACAAGAAAATGAATTCTGCCAACAACCAAAATGAGCTTGGAAGCAGATCCTTCTCCAGCCAACATTCAAGATGAGAACACAGCCCACCCAAGAACCTGAATGGAGCCTTGCGAGATCTGCAGCTGAAGACCCAGTTAAGCTGTTCCTGAATGCCTGACACACAGAAACTGGGAGATAATAATTGTATATCCTTTAGCTGCTAAGTTTGTGGTAATTTGTTCCCCACCAATAGAAAATGAATATAATCACTGCCAATAAAATACATTCCAGAATGGATGGAGTAGATGGCCATCTAGGAAGTGTGGTTTTGGGGTAACTCAAATCTTTAGCTTTCACAAGGATTTCCCCCTCTGTGAGTACCCACGATGCCCAACCTAGCGACTCTTTATAATTGAAGATGTCTAAGATCTATTTAAAATAAAAATGTTACCAAGGAGGTTTAGAATATGGAATAACTATTAGTTTTAAACTTAGATCAGTTCAAGTATTTGATAAATTCAATAGTCAGTAGCATAGAGGGGGTACACAGGATAGACAAGTTTTGATTGGGGCAAAATGGAGGACCAGGAGCGATCCAGCATAAGAATGTTGTTTAATGTTTACCATTATGTAACTTGGTCAAAGTCACACAGCTAATAAGTGGTGATAGCTAGGAGGGACCATGTGTTGGGATTCTTGAATAGACAGGGGATTGAAGAATGACTGTGGGTCTGCAAGAAATGGGATGGGGTCCTGAGGAAGGAGGAAGGTTCTCCAAAGAGGAATGTAATCCAAGGCAGCTCCAACTGAAGGCAAACTAAGAAGAGACTTGTGAAAAAGATGTTAACCGGGTTTATTGGTAAGGAATGCCTGAGGGACTTGCCTGAGAGCGACTCTGAGACCATGTCCAGGTTCAGTGGGGAAGATTTATTAGTGATGTCTACCTTGGGCTTAGTGGGGAGGGAGTGAAGACACATGTGCTATTGATTTGTCATCTTTAACTTAGGGATGGGAAAGAACCTCTCCAAATCATTCCTGAGTGATAATATGAGAACATCCAGCCCGAAAGAAAAATTTGGACCACTCAGTAATTGCAGGTAAAGACATTTCTGTTTCACTTATAAAAGTTTGTACAAATGAAACAACAAAAAATTGCATAAATTTGTGGCTGCTCCGGTGGCGCAACGGTTAAGTTCATACACTCCGCTTCAGTGTCCTGGGGTTCGCCAGTTCAGATCCCAGGTGTGGATCTATGGACTGCTTGTCAAGCCATACTGTGGTAGACATCCCACATATAAAGTAGAGGAAGATGGGCATGGATGTTAGCTCAGGGCCAGTCTTCCTCAGCAAAAAAGAGGAAGATCAGCAGCAGATGTTAACTCAGGGCTAACCTTCCTCAAAAAAGAAAATGCATAAATTTAAATACATATATTTTAGCCCTTTTAATGAGGATGGAATAAACAAAAGTTGGAATATCTTCTTGACTCTCAATGATTCCTTTTCTTGGCTGTGCTCAAGCCTTGATCCCTTCTGGAAACAGACCCAACTCCTGACTCCAGGGGTGAGTGATGTCTCAAACTGGGCCAACCATCTCTCTCCTTCCGCTGGCCCCAGTGATTGGTCTGAGGGATGAGCACATGACAAGAGCTGACCATTCAGAGTCTTTCTTTGGCCTTTTTCAAATTAGAGCTGGGAAAGGGAAGACATTTTTCTTCTTTGATAACTGGGCTCTAGGTTATCGCAAAGCTGCCATCCATTGTGTGCAGTAAGTTGGAAGCCAGCTTGTAGGGACACCCAGATGTGAGAGGAGAGTTGAGAAAGTATGTTGGTTTTAGAATCTCTGGTTCTACTTATCACTGATTTTGCCTGCTCTTTGAAATAAAGTGTATGGTTCTGTGATCTGCATTGTTTTTCCCCCCAGCTTTAATTTACATATAATAACCTGTACATATTTTAATTGTACTATTTGGTGAATGGATACATATATATACACCCATCAAGTCATCACCGCAATCAAGATAATGAACATATCCATCACACTCCAAAGTTTCCTCAAGCATCTTTGTAATCCTTCCCTTTACCCCCAACCTCAGGCAACCACTGATCTGCTCATGTCACTATAGGTTAGTGTATATTTTCTAGAATTTTATGTAAATGCAGTCATACAGTATGTACTCTTTTTTTTTGGTCTAGATTCTTTCACTCAGCATGATTATTTGGGGATCCTTTCATGGAGTTGCATGTATTAATAGTTCATTCTTTTTTTCTTGCTGAGTAAATATTCCATTGTTTATCCATTTATCTGTTGATGGACATTTTCTTTTCAGTTTTTGACTATTATGAGTGATCATGCTATGAATATTTGAGTTCAAGTCTTTGGACATACGCTTATACTTCTCTTGGGTAAATACTCAGAAGTGGAAAAATGAGCTTGTATCATAAGTATATGCTTAACTTTTAGAGAAACTGCCAGAAGCTTTCCTGCTTTCAGTAATGGTGTACCATTTATTGATGAGGGTTCCAGTTGCTCCACATCCTCACCAACTTTTGGTATGGTCAGTCTTTCCCTCCTCTGCTTTGGCCTAAGTTAGTTCTTGCTGAGTTTCTGTCACTTGCGACCAAAGAATCTTGATTAATACGGGCGAGGTACTCTGTTTCAGAGAACTTTATCTATAGGACTTGTGAATTTGGATATTGAAAAATATTTACTGAGAACAAATAACCCCCAGTAGAATCTATGTGAAAGCTTAAAACATGCAAAGCATGACTTAATTGCATTAACTCAAGACTGGGCATGACTGAATGATATTGATCCTTCAGACTGGGAGAAATTCCACACCATAAGTAGTAGTGTTCATTGTCCTGATCACATGGCTTATTATTTCAGCCAGCAGACAGAGCTCAGAGACTGAAGGAGTAAGGGTTGATGTGGTTAATTTAAGCAATATAGTTTTTAAAAATCCCATAATGAATTAATAAGAATTTGATAATAGGCTTCTAATGGTTGCCAACGTGCCTGTGATGGGGATGAATGTTCTAACAATGGCAGAGCACTTGAATCCAGTGATGTAAAAAGACAAAAGTGGCAGCTTGCCAATGTTTGCTGGGAGGCTTGCCAAGTCGAGAGCCACCTCTGGCCGGAGAGTGGATGAAGGAAAATAGCAGAGTGACTAAGAGTGATGGCTCTTAACTCAGACAGCTTTTTGCATCCGGACTCAGTCACATACCAGCTATGTAACCTTGGGTAAGTTATTACACTTGCTCTGTGTCTCGTTTCCTCATCTATAAAATGGACCTATAGGATGTATCTACTTATAGGGTTGTTATGAAGATAAATTGAGTTAATCTATGTGAAGTGCTTAGAACACTGACACTCAGTACACACTCAACAGATGTTATTATCAATACTGTTATGTTGATGGATAGATCTGGGTTTTTTTTTGCCACATTCTTGATGAAGCAAACTGATTTTTCATGTTATTCTACCTACATGTTCCAGGCACTCTGCTTTATAACACTGATCTCATTTCTCCCCGGAATTTATCATTGTTCCTGTTTTCTGTGTGAGAATCCTGGAGCTCAGCAAGATTAAGAAGCAGTTACTGGTGGAGCCGGCATTCCAACCAGAATGCTGAGACCCTAACACAGATGCTCATTCTGTTATTTTAAGGTGCTCTCATGAGAAGAGGCGATCCTCCCTAAAGTTTAATGGGCATGGTTAGCCTTCCTAATCAGGCACTTTGTGATTCAAAGAAAACCACAGAGGCACAGGGAGTCCAAAAGACATTTAGCAAAGCCATCTCCGTAAACACGGGGAATGAGATCTTTGGGAAAATGAGAAAGGAAGAGAACGAAGCAAATTGTTGAGGAGGGACAAAAATCCCAAATAAAACAAGAAGAAAACTTGTGTCTTGCTAAATAGGTCCGAAGTAAATGACACGTATTAGGAACAAGACAGCCATGAAGGTTAAACTCCGTGAGAGACCAGGAGTGGGAAGGTGGCGAATACTGCTGTGTGTTTGCTGGAGCAAGATGGATGACAGCTGTGAAGGCAGCCAAATGGGAAATATGATAAACTCTTAAGTGCAAGCGGGAGAGACTCAAGTAACGAGAACCTCAGATAAACACAAGACATAAAACCCATTTCAGACCAAGCCTGATGGGCCGCACGGAATGGACAGCCAATGAGGGCCCAGTGAGGGGATATGAAGCATGAAGGAGACAAATCCAAAGAGAAAGACAATGTCTCAGCTGCTCTGGCTGTCAAATGGCTTTCACAAGGGAGGCAAAGAGGGACAATGAGGGGCTGAGGCTGACAGACAAATCCCCCAGCCCCGAGTCACATAGCATTAGAAGGATTTGCTTTGTGGTCCGTGACCATCGCCACTCTGGGATGCACACGAGCGCGCATTCAGAACCGATGACGCTGGTTCTTTTTCTGTTTGGGATTAGCTCTGAGGTGGAAAAATCTAGAAAGCAGCTGTAAAGTCTCAGAAGTCACGCTGTGTTTCCAAACTCATAGTGTCCAAAAGGAAGGCTCTCTATTTTAACAATGAAGCCTATGGCGTTTTTCTGCTAAGGGCTGTCCGTTTGATTTTAAGTCATAGTTTTTTGATTTTGTCCCAAACCCTCGCTGAATATAGCTTGCTGGATAGGGATGCAAATCTTGGCTGTCAGTAGACTGGGTTAGAATCTTAGCTCCAACACTTACTGGCCTCAGCTTTCTTGCATAGGATAGAGATGGCCATGGGCTGGCTGTGGGGACCAACTGAGATAAACTGAGTTAAGTTCTCAGCATCGTGACAAGACTGTGCTAGATGCTGGGATATGGAACAAGACATGGCCCAGATCTGTGTGGCCTCTAGGCTACGAAGCGAGGTCAGCATGCTACGTATGCCTTAATAAAGTATGAGAAATGCAGCCCTGGAATCATACTCAAGGCCTGGAGGAGGGCTGTGCTCAACTCATGCAGTGTGTGTTTGAAGCCATGGAGGAGCTTTGAACTTGTAACCCAGAGTTTACTGGTAGGAGAAGGACACTTCAGGAGCAGAGAACATTATAAAAAAAGGCATGGACGTAGGGGTGCATATATGTTTTCGAATTAGTGTTTTTATGTTCTTTGGATAAATACCCAGAAATTATATAGCTGGATCACACACTATAGCATTATTTACAATAGCCAAGACTTGGGAGCAACACAAGTGCCCGTCAGTGGATGAATGGATAAAGAAGATGTGTATTTATACAATGGAATACCACTCAACCATAAAAAGAAGAAATCGTGCCATTTGTGACAACATGGATGGACCTTGAGGGTATTATGCTAAGCAGAATAAGTCAGACAGAGAAAGACAAACATGGCGTGATTTCACTCATATGTGGAAGATAAACGAACTCATGGGTAAGGAGAACCAATTAGTGGTTACCAGAGGGGAAGGGGATGGTGGGAGGGAGAAAAGGGTAAAGGGGCACGTATGTATGGTGACAGATAAAAACTAGACTACTGGCGGTGAACACAATGCAGTCTGTACAGAAGCCAAAATATAACGATGTACACCTGAAATTACACAATGTTGTAAACCAATGTGACTTCAATAAAATAAAAAAAGAGAAAAGAAAAGGCAAGGAGTGGTGAAATAGTATGGTAGGTTTGGGAACCCACACATAGTTTTGTTTTTAAAAGCGCTTTTCACAGGAGGTTATAGATTAGGTTAATAGGTATAAAGAAAAGAGAAGGCTCTACGTTTAAATGAATTTTAGAAATTTTAGGTTAGAAAAACAAACTGGTTTCTTTCTTGGAAGCCTTAAAAAAGTCTTGCATCTCCCTATATATAGAATGGATCTCCAAGAGGGACATTTAGAACACAGTATCTTCTAAACTTATTAGAGCACAGAAACTCTTTTTAAGAGCATCTTGCAGATCTGGTATTCCACCCCTCCTCCCCCCATAAATAACAAGAAGAAATAAATTATAAAAAAAAGAACATTTCATGAGACGCTGACCTCAAGAGCGAGGAACACCATTGAGATGACTGGGGGTAGCTTATTTACTTACTTGAAAAGCAGTGTTGAAGTAATGTTAGACATCTAAGATAAA